CCCTTGAGCACCCGCACGCCAACAGAGGAAAATGCGCCTGGGGGGCCAGGGACCCGGAGGGGCGCCCTCAGGTAGGTGCGGACCAGGCCACGGGCCACGGGCCGGCTGTGCACGCGAGGGAGACGCCTCCCTTCTGCTTCAAGCTGCGTAACACGCGAAGCCCAGCTCAGGCCTCCCAGGCCGGCGCTGCCCTCCCCGCGGCCGTGGCGAGCGGCCACGCTCTGCCCGGGCCCCGGGACCTGCCCGACGGGTCTCCTGGAGGCTCCGGCCCGGCACTTGCCGGGGCAGGCGCTCAGGTCCTCGCCGAGGGCCAGAGTCCTGGGGGGCCGGGGCGCCAGCGGCCGCGGGTTCTGCCGGAGGAAGCGCTGCAGCAGCTGGCCCAGCCCCGCCGTCAGCAGCAGCACCGTGGAGCAGTACCTGGGGCCAGCAGGGGCAGGCGGTCACTTGGGGACTCCTGGGGGGAAGCCCGGCCGCCAGGAGGCTGTGCCCCACCCCAGCCCCCCAGGGCCCGTGGCCAGGGCCCATCGCGGTGCTCACTTGGCGGGGACCTCCCCCGGGGCAGCGAAGCCGTGCCACAGGACGTTGCGGAGGTTGAGGCCGCGGGGCGAGCCCAGGAGGACGCGCAGCACGTTCATCTGGGGGGACACGTGTGGCCGCAAGCTGGAGTGCCCAGCAGCGGGCAGGGGCCGGACGTGCCGGCGCCCAGGCCCACGGCGCCCAGCGCAGAGGCCTCGGAGTGTCTGGCGGGGACCTCAGAGCGGCCCCGCGGTGCCACTGCCGACCCGACCCTCGTTTCCCTGAGCTGCCCCTGCCTTGGGGTGATGGCCGGCAGCAGACGGGCAGGCGCACTCACCACAGGCTGCCCGAAGACTTGCGCGAGCTCCCCCGACGCCAGCAGGTCCCGGAGAAGGAAGGGGCACTCCTTCCCGACCAGCAGGAAGACCTGCGGTGTGGACGACACCGCGCAGCCGTGTGCTGTGCTGCGGGCCCGGAGGGCCGGCCCTGTGGCTCTCACGTCATGGCCGCTCCGAGCCGTGACACCCACCCACGCCCGCCGCGCACTCTATGGGAGCCGCGGCCCACGCCGGGGTGGGGGTGGCTGGCACTGGCATGGGGCCCGGGGGCCAGGACGGGCACTCACGTCACCCAGCGCCCGCTCCAGCAGCGCCGTCAGCTTCATGAGGCCCAGGGCCACGGCGGCCGGCTGTGCGCTGCCCAGGGCGTCCAGCACTTCGGGGAACAGCTGTTGGGAAGAGCCCTGCGGTCACACCTGCCCTCGGCAGGGCTCGCTTCTCAGGTGCAGTACCAGGAGCACAGTCCGACCTCTCAGCATTTGCCTGGCCACGCGGCTGCCTGGGTTCAGGTGGGCACCCCGGGGCACAGGGCAGTGGCGTCCTCCGCACGGCGGCCGTCAATGTGGTGACCGTGAGTGCGAGCGCCAGACGCGGCCCGGCCTGGCCCCGCTCTCTCCGGCTCAGGCCTTACCAA